TTTTGGGGGGGGGGGAGGCGGGTTTTCTTGGGAACCTGGTTCTTCGTGAACTTTTCCCGATTGTTTTGGCGGTGGAGCTTTGGGGCCATCTTTTTCAGAACAAGCGCATTCGTTTTCATTGTGACAATTTGGTGCTGGTGATGGCCATCAATAACATTTCTGCATCTTCGCCTCCCGGTGATAACCATATTACGTCGTTTGGTGTTGGCTTGTTTGCGTATGAACGCTTTTATGTATGCTGTTCACATTCCGGGTTCCATTAATCAGTTGGCGGATGCTTTGTCTCGCTTTCAGTGGGAAGAGTTTCGGCGGTTGGCGCCCACTGCGGAGCGGCACGGGGTTCCTTGTCCCTAGAGCCTGTGGGGGATCGCCTTGGAGTCATCGCTGGGTTGATACGGGAGTCGGTGAGTGTGGCCACGTGGGCGGCCTACTCGAAGGTTTGGGAGGAATGGTTTGCCCTGCAGGACAGCGTGGGCGTTCCCCCGGTCTGATGGGGATCATGTTTCCTTGGTGCTGTTCTGGGTTATTTGTGGTTTTGTGGACGGGGTGTCGGTGTCTGGGCTGGATCGGCGTTTGGTGGGTCTGGCGTTCTTATTTAAATTGATGGGGTTGCCGGATCATACTAAGCAGTTTCTTGTACGCCAGGCAGTGATGGGCTATAGTAAAGGGTGTAGGCGAGTGGATTATCGGCGGCCGGTGTCCTTTTCCCAGTTGCTTTGGGACCAGTTGGCATTGACGTGTGTGTCGCTATACGAGATGTTTTTGTTCAGGGCGGCCTTTTTGATCACTTTCTTTGGGACCTTACGGATTGGCGAAGTGGTGAGCCCTGCTCTGGTTAGGCATGGAGGTTTGCAGAAGGGGGATGTGTTATTGGATGGTGGGTCCTTGAGCCTGCTGATACGTAGGTAAAAAACGGACCAGTAGGGTAAGGGGATGAGGGTTGTGCTGTCTCGCAGTGAGGATATTGGGTTATGTCCGGTGAGTGCTCTGGAGGAGTTTGTGGCACTGCATCCGCATGGGGGGGTCTCTGTTGGTATATGCAGATGGGTCGGCTTTGTCTCGGTTTCAATTTGTGGCAGTTTTTTTCGGAAATGTCTGTCTGCATAGGGGTGGCTACGAAGGCCGCCAGGTGGGCATTGGGAGAACAGACGGTGATGCGGATCAGGCGGTGGGAGTCTCGTAGACATTGCCTGTATGTTAGGCCACATTTGTTGGCTTTCGGTGTGTTCTGCTTGTTCATGGATGTTGGTGCTGGGTTTGTATTTTCTTTGTTTACCTCTTACCTTACCTCTGTTTTACAGGTGAACGCCACTGCCTCTTTTGGATTGTGGGACGCTTGTATGTAGTTTGAGGTGCTCGTAGGGCCGAGGTGCGGCCCAATAGGCTTCAGTTGGGGTTTTCCCGGGAGGAGGCCACGGTCCGTTGGATTGGGGTGCCCGGTTTGCAATGGAGTCAAGTGGTGCCAGAGGTTCATCGTTTTTCCCGCTTGGATAGGCCTCCTGATGTGTTGCTGCTTCATGCAGGGGGTAATGACCTTGGTGTTCGTCTGATGCGGGTGTTGATTCGGAACATTAAGTTTGATGTTCTGAGATTGCTATCTTCTTTCCCGGGTATGGTGATTGTTTGGTCGGACGTGGTGGCCAGGACGTTGTGGCGTCTTGCTCGCTCAGTGGACCGGCTGAACCGGACTCGCATTAAAGTGAATAAGGAGGTGGGGCGGTTTGTGTCCCATAATGGAGGTGTAGTGGTGCACCATTTGGAGGTGGACACTTGGCAGTATTTTCGGGGGGATGAAGTCCATTTCAATGCTGTGAGCACGGACATGTGGTTTTTGGGCTTACAGGATGGGATGCAGTGGGCTGTTCGTTTGTGGAGGGGCGCAAATGTGTCACGCTTTTGCGCTGTGGCGGTTTGGATCCTTGAAAGCAGTTGTCAGTGGTTGCATATCTTGACGGGGGACCCATGGTGTGGATGCCCTTCGATAGTCGTACAGTCATATGGGTATGACCAGGTAATAAGGACCAATGTGGGTCTGCGGACAGTTTAGTTACGTCCCCAAGGCGGTGTATGGCGGCTGGGGGCATTCAGGTACAAGTAAGGTCCCCGCAGATACTGGTCTGTTTAGGGTCATATTGCCTTCAAGGACCTTGAAACCAAACAAGTTGATACAGTGTGGTTATTGGTTTGTTGTTGTTATTTATAATAAAGGGCTGCTGTGGCCATTTAAACTACAGCTGTTGTGTGGCGTATTGATTGGTTAGCATGGGATGGGGTTTGAAGATAAAGAAGGGTACTGGTAAAAGGGACCTCTGAGCTACCTTAGTCAAGAGTAAAGGCAATTAGGTCATGCATTCATTACTTACTCCTAAGTATCATATATATGGTTAAAGTGTACACAAGTACTATACACAAAACAGGGGCAGCGTACATGAGAGAGTTAAACAGATGTATGTATACAGGGAATATAATCATATGTAGTAAAATGACTAGTTTACATTTCTCTTCTTTAGGGGAAGCTGTTGCAATTTATGCAGAAATTGAGAATGGCTCTTCACGTCTAATAGTTCCCAAAGCTGCTATATACCAAACTCAAAGTTTTATAGTCCATGGGAAAACTAAAACACATAAACAGATGCTAGCAAGTGTGCGTGGAAACCATATTGCCTCAGGAAGCACAGAAACCTGGAATGGGAAGACACTTAAAATACCTCCAGTAACACCCACCATCTTGGACTGTGAGATCATCCGTGTGGAGTACGTTCTAGCGGTGAGTCATTAAACACGAGAGAAACTTTGCTAATAGTTACAAATCTGGTGAGCAGGCTTGACTAAAGAAATAGAGGTTGTTCGCTTAGTAAAGTGAATGTTCACTGAGCTTAGTAAAATGGTGAATCTGTGTTCACTTAAATCAACCAATTATATGCTAGCAAAAATCTTTATTTTTTTTAAACTTTCCTTACACCTGATTGGGTATTTGATGACTGCTGCTGTCATTATTCAACTTCCGGCTAGTTGCTGGGACAACCTGCTATTCTATTACCTAATCAGCAGTGGTGGCCGTCTGGGGGGTGAATATTAACGGCTGCAGTCCACTTTCTGCTGCCTATGGGTTGGCAAACATTCACTGACCCACAGCGCCTCCCCTTCAAGTGGTGCCCAGGGTATGTGTCATATGTGCCATGCTCTGCATACACCAATGTACTCCCCACAGGTGGATCGTGCATCCGCCTGTCCTCCATTCACATTTTTTTTCAATGTTTATTATGGCTTATAGTGTCTAGACCCTTGGTTCTTAACTGGTGGGTCGTGACCCAAAAGTGGGTCGCGACTCCGTGTTCAGTGGGTCACTGCATGCCTTCCACTTTTCTAGGTGAGAGGCTTCCCTGCCTCCCCCAGCACTGTCCATTCTTAAACAGAGCAACCATTCAAAATATGACTTGAGGTGGGGTGGGCTGGGGATATGCCGCGAGGGAGCTCCATCCATACATGTATTGCTAATAGCTCCCTCGCATATCCTGTAGAGGTGCCCGGACTGGAATGACATCACATTCTGGCTCCCGCCACCTCTACAGGGTGCGCATGGGAGCTGTACAAGCAATGCATGTATGGATGGAGCTCCATCACAGCACAGCAGCCCACACTGCCATGCATTCCATTGCAGTGCGACTTGGGTTGTGAATTAATGATTGAGGACAAATGAGGGTCCTGAGGCTACACAGGTTGAGAACCACTGGTCTAGACCAGTGGTGGCGAACCTTGGCACTCCAGATGTTTTGGAACTACAAGTCCCATGAGGCATTGCAAGGTTCTGACAGCCACAGACATAACTCCCAGAGGCAGATGCATGTTGGGATTTGTAGTTTTGGTACAGCTGGAGTGCCAAGGTTCGCAACCAATGGTCTAGACCAGTGGTCCCCAACCCCCGGTCCGCGGACCGGTATCGGTCCGCGGATCAAATGGCACCGGGCCGCACAGTCTCAGTGCGGTCCGGTCCTGCAATATCCCCCACCCCCCTCAGCGGGCCACGGTAAAATTATTAAACGTTGACCGGTCCGCGGCGATAAAAAGGTTGGGGAGCACTGGTCTAGACCATTAGATCAAGAGTTTTTTCTGAAGTATTATTAGCACAGGCATTGTGCAACACAGGTGTTGTGGACAATTTGTGACAATTTCACAATTTATAACATTTTTCTCAAATTTTAGGAATACATTTTTTGAGTTTGTGAAGCACAGTGCTATTTTCCTTCTTTCTCATGAACTAAACTTTAGCTTTAAATTTAGCTTGTTGAAAGTAATAAGTTGATTCGTCATATTACCTTTTTCAATATCTACTAAAATGTTTTGTTAATTTATTTAAGACAGTTTAAGAGGATAATTACAAAGCCTTCTTCTTCCTAATCAGGTCTATATTCACATTCCTGGTGCACAAAGACTGATGGTGGAGCTTCCTCTAGTTATAGGCACGGTGCCATTCAATGGGTTTACGTACAGAAACTCCAGTGTTGCCAGTCAGTTTACAGTGGACATGAGCTGGCTTGCCCTGGCACTGGCTGAACAACCAGAAGGTAGAAAATAGTTCACAAAGTTTTGTATGTCTTGTACTGATGCTAATTGTAATACATTTTAATTGTTTTAGACAATACTACCAGGCCAATACTAAGGAGTATTACCACGCACCCCGCCCATCCCATGGCACAAGTCTGTTTGCATTTTAAAATTCAACATTAAAGTTTTACCCAAAGAAAGCACATCCATCTATTTCTGAAAATTAGGTGTAGTATTATAAATGCAACTCTCCAAACGCAGCATTCCTGCATGGCAAATTCTAGTTGTCAATCACTGTCTGCCTTAGAAACGTCCTCATAACATAAAGCTACCAGCTACAAGGGAGTGAAATAAAGAAAACTGGGTGAAATTTTGTGACGTGCAATATTACTCAGTTCAGTACATAAGAGCCTGTGTTAAGTAGCAATACCAGACAGATTTCCAATATTAGCTAAAGCCACTATCTGTAGGACAGTGGTTCTCAACCTGTGGGTCGCGACCCCGTCGGGTCGAATGACGATTTGCCAGGGGTCGCCTAGCGGCTCCTGGCCGCCCAGGAGAGAAACACTTTCTCCCGGAGAAGGTTTACTCTGCTCGATCGAGGTCCCCTTCTAGTGATTGACAGCAGCAGAAGGCGGGTGCAATAGCTAGTTTGCTATTGGCTATTGAAAAGTGAAATCCAATAGGAATCTAGATATGCATTCCTATGGTGTTTTTTTTATTTTGACTGCGTACGCCGGTGGTTCTCAATCTGTGGGTCGCTGTGTGATTTCTGCTGTGCTAGGTGAGAGTCCTCCTCAGTGCTCTCCTAGCGCAGCAGTGTCAGTTCTCCTGCAATGCCGCCAGATGTCGCTGCAGCAGCCGCGTCATCCCTAAATTTTACCGTTGGGGGTCACCACAACTTGGCAAATGTTACCAAGGGGTCCCGGCCCTAGAAAGGTTGAGAACCACTACTGTAGGATATCTATGAAAAATGGAAAGCTCTTATCTGCCCATGTAGCAGCGTGAAAGGATGGTTCTACCACCTGCCAACATTGTGGGGATCTGCAGCCGTGCTTCCTGATTTTACCTGCAGCACCACTTGCTGGTATAATTTGGTATTGCAACTTCTCTGGTCAGATAAGACATTTTGGCCATAATCAATAAACACCACAAGGGGCAAAGCAGCAAGTGCACAGCATAGGAACCCATAGCAACCAATTATAATTATTTTAACAGAAGCCAGACCAGCACCCGAAGAATTCTGATTGCTTGCAATATTTTTGTGGTTGTTTTGAGTTGGTGAACTTTAGACACTATAAGAGGCAGGTATACAAGGGTTCTACTGTTTAAATGGGGCTGTTGTTTACCATCTTTCCCTTTAAAAGTAAAAAGATTTAAACTGATATGTGGTAAAGGTATATTAATAGGATTAAGTATATTACATTTTTCTTTTTCACAAACTTTCTTATTTTGTTTTTACATTTACCTGCCACCCAAGCTTCCAGCAAAAGAGTTGGGACCGGGGTAAGGAACAAACCATAACACTTCTAGGTTGCTTGTCTAGGTTCATTGTCAATTGAGGTCTAAACCTAAAACCATTATCCTACAACAACTCTAATTCTTTAATGGGCAAATCTACAGCACTACCAAAATATAGTCTTCATCTTTGGCCAGGGGTGCTTCAGTGCACTACAGGGAAGAATTGTCATTACTTTCCCTATAATGCATACCTCCCAAGAGGCTCCTTCCCCTCCTCAGTCTACCTTTGTAGCCTTCCCCCAACACAATGCTCCTACTGGGTCCTCCTCATATAAAACCTTACGGAGTTCCTGCAGTTCTTTTGTACTAGATTCTCCAGCCCCCTGGCCCCTCTACTCCTCAAGCTCCCTAATCTTTCTTTGTCCTCTAGCACCTCCTTGTCTGGGCTTCATATCAAGGTCCAGTGTTCCCGCTTGCCCATAGGAACTAATATATGCCAATGAAAGAACATTGGAGAGAAGAAAGAATCCTTAAAGCTCAACTCTGGGCTCTGTACTTCCCCCTCCAAAGAACCCCCTTGAGGTCTCCACCAGTGGTATTTAGGAGAAGTTGGGCTTTAAATTTTATGTACGGGAAATATTAAATTAAAAACATATTCAGCATACTTCTACAATACATGCACAGTACATTTCTCCATGTTTTTTTCTCTTTAGAAAATGCTGCAAAATATATGTCTGCTGAAGCTACCAGAAATCCAAGGAGCTCCTAACTTCCTGTAGTGATCTGATCTTACTCCACTGAAATCTGAAACATTGTTCTCAGCCCTGCCCCGTTAACTTCTCTTAAGTCGATAAGGAGTGGGGGAGATGTACTGTAGTCCTAACACACTTCCTGTCCTAGGGTCCCAAGGCTGCTTCTCCACAGATACTGTGCAGGGAGTGAGCATTGTCACCTTAGGACAGGAAGTGTGTTACTGGTAGGATCACTAGGTACAAAAAAAGAAGACAAACTAAAAAGAAAACTGATGCAGCCACCACAACTAAGGACTGATAATCTGATTTATATTATTTTTTGAATCTTCAAGCAGATGCAGGACGTATAATGGTTTGTTGCAAACCAGTGTCGGTATCACTTTTGCTGGACAGTTTGGCAAGCAGCTAAATGTAAAGAAATATATGGAGGTATATTTGTTAACGAAAAAATTTTTTTTTTTAATTGTCCTTTACATCTACTGTACATATAATAATACATATCATTCTGGCATTTTGAGTAGTGCTGTCTATTCAGAACATTTTGCCTACCAACATGCCTACAGTTGAGTTGCATTATAGTAATTAGAAGAATAACCATTTATGAGCCTTTTCAACATATACTGTATATGTGCTTTATTAAATATTATAACATGTAAAATAAAAATATGAGAACATGTAAGAATTTGTATTTTAATTTTGTTGCAATGCAGCAAATACAAAAAATGGAAAATGGCATCCTTATAGTTTTGATAATGCTATGATTTCTTTTTCTTTTTTTAATAATGAGTTTTATTTTCACCACTAGCACCACCAAATTACGCAGACGTTGTTTCAGAAGAAGATCTTTCATGGTGTGCCCCTCCAGTCACACAACAAGATGTCTTGCTAGAAGGACTCTGCTTTCCTTCATTTGTTGTCATCCAAGAGTTCCGATTTCAACCCCCACCACTATATTCACAGGTAAGATTATTATACAGGGCCAACAGTTTACGCAGCGCTTTACAATATAAGGAAGACATTACAATCACAATACAATTCAAGACAAGATGGTAAGGAGGGTCCTGCCCGTGAGGGTTTACAATCTAAAAGGGAGGGGCAAGTGATACATGAGGAGGTAGCTGTGTGGGGATGACTTGTTTGAGAAAGTGATAGTTCAGGGGTTAGGTTGAGGTGGGACAGGCTTCCCTGAAGAGATGAGTCTTAAGGGATCACCTAAAGGCAGTCAGAATGGGAGATAGTCGGACAGGTTGGGGTAGAGAGTTCCATAGGATGGGAGAGACTCTAGTGAAGTCCTGGAGGCAAGCATGGGAGGAGTTGACGAGGGCGTTTGAAAGCAGGGGGTCTTTTGAAGAGCGGAGGGGACGGTTAGGGTGATACTTTGAGACAATGTTTGAGATATAGCCGGGGGCAGAGTTGTGGATGGCTTTGTAAAAGGTTATTAATATTTTGAATTGTATCCTTTGGGCTATTGGAAGCCAGTGTAGGGATTGGCATAGGGGGGTTGCAGACACTGAGGTGTAGGTGAATATGTGGTATGAGTGGACTCCAGTTTATGTGCATACAGTGGATTCCCTTGCATCTTTTTTGCAAAAATTGCATCTGGCTGTCAGGCAGCACAGACAGTTTTTATTTCAGACATCAATAAAAAAAGTCTACCACATTCTTCAATGTCTGAAACCTGCATGTTCTTTTTATACACAGGTTGACCCACATTTCAATCATGGAGCAGAAGGCACTGCACCATTCACCTTAGAAGAATGAGAGTCTAATCTTCTAACATGGTATAAGATCTCAAATTAAAGACTGAGAGCCAACATTGAAGATGCAATCCTATTGGGACCTGTGCTAAATGTAAAATCTGAAATCTGCTCAAAAAACTACTACCATGTATGCAAATTATGAGTAGAACATGCTTATAAAGGGTATTAAGACCTATTCTAGCTAATATGCACTCCATGATGATGCTTCCAGTGGTATGAGAAGAAAGAAGACAAATATTCCTGAAATGGAACTGGGCTCCCTAGAGCCTCAGCCCCCTACTACCCTAAGTGCCATGTGCGCTTTCTTACCTCCAATATTTTTTCATAAACCGGAAAGAACAGGGAAAATTATCAGACAGATGGAGGTTTACCATAGTAACTGTGAAAATAACTTTTATTAAAGTAATGTAGAAGTCCAGGGAAAACGATAGTTTGGCCTACAACCTTCCAGTCTTTGGAAATGTATGTGTAGGTAGGTCAACCAACCAATATATTTTTTTCAATTTGAGAATATTTGTAACAAAGCAGATTGATAAATACTTTGTATTTGTTTTGTTTTGGTTACTGGTACCTACTTATCAGTGTTCCCAATTTAATGTTTTTTGGGAAACCTATGGCAAAAATAAGTTTATATTGTGCCAATGTTGTGAGTTTTCTTAATCCGGGCACACTACAAGACCGTCCAGAGATGTACAGATTTAACTTAAAATTTTGAGGGAAGTGTATTTGTTTTCTAAAGGGATATTACGATACTTTTCATCTGTGAATAGTCGTCTTTTGATCTATTTCTCTTGTCTTATTCATACATGTCTTATTCAGCATTGACCAGTTTTGTGCAGAGGTATAAAACTTGCCACACAACGTAACTTTGACATGTTCCACTTGTTTTATGTAGGTCATTCAAACAAATTACATTCAAATAGATTGTTTACAGGTCCAATCAGATTGTGAGTCTGCGTGGCCATCTAAAGTTTTCCACCATGTATTCCACCTGCTCAGTGACAGATGCATTGGGTTTGTTTTTATTGAAAGAGTACAGACGGTTCACTTGGCCCATGTTCACACTGGAATGTAAGTTCTATAGCGAGTGTTACAACACGGCACAGTGACGCACTATAGATTTGTGTTGTATTGCAGTTATCGCATGCCAATGCACATCTACAATGCGCTGCAAAGTATTTGTGTTAAATCGCACTGCAGCACACATATACACCGCACAGGGCATATGTGCACGTGTTGCAGTTTCTATGCTTCCTAACATTTAGGCCCCATTTACATCAGATCAATTACATCTGTTTTTCAATGGATGCCAATGCAAGGACACATGAAATTGAATGGGTGTGAATGGGAGCAGTTCACTCCAGTGTGTTGCGTTGCTTTGCGCTTTTCTCCACTGAAAATAACATTACTCCTTTGAGTAATTACAAACAAGGACTTCTGAATGAAGAAAATGGGGGAAATATAGCAAAACGGGAGTAGACAGAACCTGGAGCAGTTGTCCATAGCAACCAATCAGCTTCCCTCTTCAGATTGCTCTGTTAAGCTTTGAAAATGAAATAAGGAAGCTGATTGGTTGCCATGGGCAATTGCTTCAGATTCTGTCTGCTCCAGTTTTTATAAATTTCCCTCAATGTGTTGATACTTCTGCTACTCATAATTCTATGGTCCATGTCACACTAGTGTTTTAGGTAGGGATGTTCAGATACCAATGCCGATACTTGGCATTTTCATGAGAACTACCAGGGTACTCGCAGTTGCAGCTGGTACCCTGCTACAGATACTTTTCCAGCTCTAGTCTTGGAGCTGGAAAAGTATCTGTACATGTACTTGTACCAAGTATGGTACTTGGTATCTGAACATCCTTAGTTGTAGGTGTGTTGTGACAATACAACCCATTTGGGTATGCTAATTTTGTCTATAGCTAGTCAAAGGAATTATTTGTAAAACTTAATTTTGGTACATTTTGCTCAGCTGTACTTAAAGCGGAACTACACCCTCCTATCCAGCCAAGGAAGGTGCCATCTTCTACACGAGCCATATGAGGGCTTGAAAGTGCAGTTGAGAGCTGAAATCAACACACTGGCAATCTTGACAGTTATTACCAGAGACAAGCCTTGGGTACCTGTTTTGGAGACCGTTTAATTGGTGGGTGACCTTTCGCTTTAATGAGCCTCATGGTGCTTTATTTGCTGCCTTGAAACATTTAATTCCACTTAAATATTATCTTAACCAAATGTTTCACTTAATCTCTCTTTTTTTATACTCTCAGGATAACAATCAGGTGCTTAAAAGGGAAATAATTACAAATGACATGTCTACTGGGAATCATACAGTATATGAACTTTCATCCTCTGTTCACACCTAGACATTTTGTAGCTGAAAGGGCTAAGCACTACAATGCCCAGACAGAGATTTTCCATTGTTTTCAATGGCCACTGTTCACATCTGAGCGCCCTATCACCTGTAGCAAAACGTCTGTGGCTGGAAAAAATGAGCTACTTTTCTACAGATTTCTGCACCTTTGGCCCCATAAACGTCAATGAAAATGCCTATAAACGTGCGGCACAAGCGTTTTCTAGTGTTTAAGTGTTTTGTCATGCAAACAACACTGGGGAACAACTATTAACAAAAACGCACGACGAGTGTAAAAGAGTCCAAAAAAAATAAAAGAAGCTTTTAAAAAAATCACCTGAAATGCTGATACTTAGGCGTGGAGCCTTAATTGAGTCTAACTTGACCGTTATGTATGTGTGATTTCTGCTAATTTTACCTTTTTTACTGGTGCTTTGGCTTGTACCCTAATAGAAATATAGGAGTTACAGGGATTATCATTGTCTGTGAATAGTTTAGAACAATGTATTCGTTGTAAAGAAATATTTAAATTGTATAAACCATCTCTTTAACTACAAGTGTGCCATTTACAGGTCAGCGTATAACACATTCTCAGTGTAAAGGCCATTTCTAGATTGTAGATTGCACATATAGCAAATGGCCATCACTGCAAATGTGAACTTGTCCACATCTAGGGGGCTATGTGTTTGTTATGAATTTTGTTACTTTGATTCATATCTTTTTCCTTCCTAAATTGAACTATCCAGGCTCGCAGACGGTCCTTATAGAGTATTTTCAGCAAGAACATATTTGATTTATTATTGTGGCCTTCAACTGTCCTTTTTCTTAAAGCGGTAGTAAATCACTGCGTGCTGGGTGGGGTTTTTACCATAATGTGCATCTATGCACATCATGCTTGCACAATATTGCACACTTACCTTACAAGTGTACCCTCCTCCAGAGCTGTGCATTGCATCTTCTCCACCGCCAATCTCCACCATCACCAGGATCCCAGATATCCTCTTCTTCTCCAGCACGTGTGATGCATTTTCTGTCCCTCAACACCACCCATCTCTGCCACCACCTCCTGTGGGCTCCCAGGCATCCTCTATGGTCATTGGGTGGCCACTGATGATGTAACTACTGCACATGTGTAAAGGAGTAAATCCTCCACGCCACTCGGCCGATTCATGTCACCTGGGAAGTGCTGTGAATGGGCTGAGAGTATAAATTGGATGGGGCATGCACCATACAGTGTACACAGAAAGTAGAAAATCACCAGGCGAAAAACAAAGAAGTTTTTTGGCAGAATAGACTTTGCCTGTCACTTCTACCAAAAATCCCAACCTCCTAGGATTGGTTTTATTTTCTTGACTTCCACTTTAATGAATGGCACTAACGTTTTCACTAAGGTAGTATGTGTACATTTCTCCTAACTCTGTTATGCCACTTAGGTACTGTATGCTTAGGTGTGTTCATACTGTTGATTTAATAGTAAGTTCAATATTCTCTGAATGATACTGAGCCTCATATATGAAAATGACTAAATTAAAACCACTTCCTTAATGTATTTAGTTACTGGCCTCTCCTGGACAATGGAAGGGAAATCTGCAGTTGATATGGACAACACAGCCTGTATAGTTCCCTTAGCTAGTTGATGGAAGTGTTTAAACATCCATAAAGCACTGAACTGTTGGTGCTATATATGAATGCAGTGTCATTACATTTAGATCTTCACCATTTGAAGTGCATGTAAAGCCATTTTCTTTTCTTTTGAATAGAATGGGGTTAAATCCCCACCTGATTTTTTTATTTTATTTTTGTGTTGAGATATTCACAACCACACAGGCTGACAGATGCCATGGCTGTTCGAAATTAACCACACAACCGAGCGGTTATATGTGAACAGGGACAAGTGAACAGCCCTGGATGCAAACTATCTGTGTCTAGGACCGCTCGTATGTGTGATTAACTGCATACAGCCATATCGTCTGTCAGCCTGTCTCTGTGCGTGACCACCTGTGACTCCCAAGTAGGGTTGCCACCTGTCCAGGATTCACCCGGACAGTCCGGGTTTTGAATGCTGTGTCCGGGTTTCATGGCAGCATAAACTCGGACACAAAATGTCAGGCAGACAGGGGCAACCAAAATTAAGATAGGGGCTACTGGCTCCCCACTAAAAATAGTCTCAACTGTGATATTTACATATGAATGGGTGGCGCTATTTACATATAAATAAGCCAGGACACAATTCTCCCAAAGAAATGTCAGCACGTCGCTAAAGTGTTTGGGTTTCACTTGAAGAAAAGGTGGCAACCCTACTCCAAAGTGCAGTAATGCATTTGTTCTTGAAGGTATTTGACCCTCTGTGGCCATGTGAATGAGGCCTAAGAGTGAAGTTCCTTACTTTGGAGAGGTTTCTTCTCACTTCCTGTTAAAGATTTTACAGAATAGTCAGTGAAGGGGAAATCTCCCCAATGGGACACAGATAAATGAAAATCTGGCAAAGGTTTTAGTTGATGTGGACAGCGTTGTAGGGTTGATCCGCTAAGGCCTCATTCACACGTGTGGCCAACGGGCTTAAAAAAAAAAAGGATGTTAATCCACTTCTTTGGCGGCCAAACACCTAAAATGTAATATAGCGGCTGCTCTTGCTTATACACATCCTGCAGTCCCAATGCTGTAAATTTGCA